CTGTCATCCGTGAAGATCATAATTCTACAAGCTTCGCATTGTTTTATGATGCTTCTTCAAAGAAAAAAATCTGAATCTCTGAATGATAATTTACTACAAAAACCAATCTTCTTCCTGAACTTTTGAAAGTTTAATAAGTTTCGACTTCATCGAATTGCATTTACATCAGATATTGAGAAAGCATTTTACAAATTTCTGTTGCACCTGAAGATCGGGATTCAATGCGATTTTTGTGGATTGATGAGATTCAAGTTTGAGCAATCCGAGAATTCAAGTTATCGGATGTGTCGTGTAAGGTTTTGGAGCAAATCAAGTCCATTTTTGCTGAGCGCTTGCATTAAGCATCATATAAAGAAATTGAAGACATCCATCCAGAACTGTAGAAATGTTAAAAACTTCATGTATGTTGACGATTTTATTGTGGATCAGATACGGATGAAGGAAGCTAGTCATTGATATAAGAAAAAGGCATCAATGACTTTGACCAAATGGAATTCGAATTCGGATACTGTAAAAAACCAGTATAAATCAAGTGACACTTCGTTAGCTTTAAATTGCCTGACTGTGATTCCCCCTCAAAGATTCTTGGACTTCAATGGGATACAATTAAGGATATGTTCTGTTTTAATGCACAAGAACGTTATTGATTTCATCCAGTCAATGACCAAACAAACGTTGTGTTTTTAAAAGCTGCTTCAAAAATCTTCGATCCTGTTGGGTTTCTGCTCCATATGTTATTCAAGCAAAGTTCTGTTTCAGGATTTATGGCTGAAAGGTGTTGTTGGGATGAAATTATCCCACCAGAATTGCAAGACAAGTGGAATAATGGTATAGCAACTATGTGATCTACATAATATCCAGGATACCTCGGTGGTATTTTGTGATGTTGATGAAACGCCTGAAACACTGAACTACATTGTTTTTGGGATTCACTCAAAGTGCTTACGGAGCACATGGTCATGAATTCCTTGTAGCTAATGTTTGTGGAACAAGTTTTTAGTGATAGCCAAGAGCAGAGTGGCTGCCCTGAAAAAATTATCTTTACCAAGACTTGAGCTCATGGCAGCAGTGTTAGGTGCAAGACTTGTAACTACAGTCCGTGTGCATTTTACTCAAGCTAAGATTCATTTATATGGCGCGATTCTCTATTGTGCTTCATTGGATAAAGAACTCACCACGGCGATGGAAAAACATTCGTACAAAATCGAGTGTCTGAAATTCAAGACAAAACATCACGAGCATGTGGCATCATTGTCCTGGCTCAGATAATCCAGCTGATAAAATCACACGTGGTTAATTAAAGTGAGTGATCTTGTAGTAGATCAAGTGTGGTGGCATGGACCATCCATGCTTCATCAAGATGAAATAAATGGCCTAAAGTGAACGACATTGTAACATAGTAGATAGTGCTGAAAAAAGAGTTGTGACTCAAGTTACTAGCAGTGTTCAACCTTTACAACCTGTGTTAAATAGAAAACTTAAGTGACTTAGGTAAACTGTTAGAGTCACGTCATATTATTTAGATTCATTAATAATTTAAAGTCACAGAATATAGTGATTGTCCTTTGACCAAAAATGAAATATGTAATGCTATGTGTTATTGGATTATCTTATCACAGGTGAGTATTTTTTTGAAGAGTTTGAATGATGTTACATGTAAAAAACCTTGTCTCATAATTCCAAATTGTTTGGGTTAAATTCAATAATGTATGAAAAGGGTTGTTTAAGAGTTGGAATAGATTAGTAAAATCATCATTAGATGTCGATGAAATTCACCCTATAATATTACCACATAATTATTTTTCTCGTTTAATTATTTTAAACGTTCATGAAAAGGTACTTCATAGTGGTTTAAACGAAACTTTAGTGCAAGTAAGATGGAAATTTTGGATTTTAAAAGCTAAACGTTTGGAAAATCTGTGTTACATGATTGTAGTTTTTGTAAAAAATATAAAGCTAAAGCTGGACACCGAGATATCGGCTCCGCTTCCTGCTGACCGAGTGGAGAAAGGTCAACCATTTGAGGTAAGTGGCCTATATTTTTCTGGCCCTTTGTATTTAAAAGATGATACAAAAGTGCATATCTTCATTGTTTACCTGTGCAGTGACTCGAGGAATCCATTTAGAATTGTTATAAAATTTAAGTACAGAGTGTTTTATTCAGGCATTGCCTAGATTTTTTGCACGTAGGGGTATTTGTAGAGTATATCTTCTGATAATGCTAAAACCTTTAAGACTGCGATCGTGAATTAAAATATTTGTATAAATTATGTAAATATGAAAGTTTTTCTAAATGGGTAAAAAGGGTTTGAATGGAATTTATTGTAGAAGGTGCTCCTTGGTGGGGCGGATTCTGGGAACGTTTTGGTAAGATCTGTAAAAACTTGTTTAAAACGTATCTTAGGTAAAGCTTCTTTATATATGAAGAACTGTATACTGTTTTAGTTGAAGTGAAGCTGTTTAATTCTAGACCTATAACGTATGTATACAATGAACCAATGAACCTGATCCTCTTTCACCATCTCATTTTATAACTGGATCTAGATTAACTGTTTGCCTTCACCTGAATCTAAACTAGAATCTACAAGATCTCAGTTGATTAAAAGATGGAAGCATAGGCAATTAATATTAGAACATTTTTGGAAAAGGTTTTATAAAGAATATTTGTTAGAATTAAGATCAGTCATGTTTTCAAACCTCCAAAGAATTCTCCCGTGTTTAAAATTAATGATGTTGTCTTGTACGAGAAGATAATGTGAAACGCTGTAACGGAAGATGGTAGGATTAAGGAATTATTTCACGGAAGAGATGATAGAATTAGATCTTGTGAGATCAGTTAGATAGGGTGTTGTAGAAGACCAATTGAAAGACTTTATAATCTTGAAGTTCAATAAAATTGATGCATCCGTTACGGATGCATGGGGGGGAGTGTTAAGTTTAGGATTGTGTATCCATAGATCGCCAATAGATGGCGGGTGTTTTGTTTGTAAAAGAAACTGTGATGTCCAATTATGTAATATGTACAGTCGTCTTTGGTGTTCGTGAATAAATGTTGTGTGGAAGAACGCTCCTCTGTTTATTACTTTAACTGCGATCCAGTCTGATTTATTAGAGATTTACTCATATTTTGTTTAATAAGGAAGTTGCTGTATATACAATGAACTTTCATTTTTGGAAGAAATCAGAAGGCTGATTGATTTTGTTCTGAGATAGAACACTTAATTTGAGATTAACTGTTTATTTGTTAGTAATTTGAAACTGTTTTTTAGCACTTTTCTTTTGTTGGGCACTAAATTTGAAGCACTCTGTTCAGCTTATGAATCATCTTTTTCATTATCTATAGGAGTCATGTAGTCCTTGGTTCCATGAAGAGAGATCTTTTATCTTGATATTTTTTTAATCTCTGCTAGCTTTTTATTTAATTGCAAAGTTTTTTTGATGTTGCCTTGTTTTTGAAGAATAGTATTGCATTTTGGACATCTAAGTCATTTACACTTTTTATTTATTGTATTTTATGTACTTCCACTATTTATGTAATATTTTATGTACTTCCACTTGGTACGCTGAGTTCCAGAAGTTTATAAAAATTCACAGCAATGGGATTTTTTTGAATCCATTAAAAGCTTTTACAATTCTTGGATGTTGATTACCTTTACTGGTAAATTAATGTCTGCCCGAATTGAAGTTAAGAATTTTTTTTGATTAAATTACTGTGTAGTAATATATGTCAGATTCAATTCTTGAAGCTGAATGAGCTGGCTTTTCTCATAGGCATTTTAAATACAAACCGCTAAAACCAACTGAATAGTTTTAGTAGAAGTCACATTACAGTGTTCTGGGAAGTGATCTGGTTGGATTTTTGAATCACCCAAGGTCATGATGGGGATCAGATGGGGACAACATGGGGGTCAGATGATGTTAATAGCAGTTGCTCTGATAGGCTATCCATAATTGTCATTAGCACAGCATCAGTTCTGAGATGACAACAGCTCAGGAATGTCGTGTGGCAGTAGAAACTACTCTAAGTACAAAGATAGCTTTGCTATATGTAGTTTAGAACAACTTTATGCATAATGGTTCCAAACATTTATTAATTACTCATAAATGTCTGGCTTTTGACTCTTAAGTCATTTGTCATCTTGCTTTCAGTTCTTCTGTGTTACAAATTAAAACTATTAAGTGCAAAGTGCATGTGTAAATGTTTTTGTGTATCCTTTTCGAGAGTCACAAAGAGGAAGAAATCACTGGAGAATTTCTGAGTCTAATGTGAAACAAATTAGTATTAAGGCAATTATATCCAGTCAAAAGATAGAAGGATGCCACCAATGTAGTATAGGGAAAATCCGAGATAATTATATCCCTTTTCTAGAAGACATTGCATTTTCCTTGACTGCAAAATAGATAGAAAATATCATCACAAAACTGAGTCATGATGATTCTGAACATATGTTTGAATTATTTAATTAGTATTAAATGTTAATCATTTACCACACTAAAAAAGTAAATATTTATATATATAGAAAAGTAAATATTTATATATAGGTAAATATTCATCTTTATTTTCTCATTCAGGCCAAGTCTCATAGTTGATGGAATTATTCTTTCAGATATATATATATTATTAACTATGCAGCAATTGCGCAAGTAGTAATAACTTGTTTTCGCACTAAACGAATTTAAGATCATACAACATTATATATATATATATATATATAGCTATAGAATATAACTGTATAGTGGTAACTTCAGATTCACAACAATTAGTTATTTAATGGAAGTATCTTTCCAGATTTGACATATTAATGGTAATAAGTGAAAAAGTTAAAGTTATGATATACTATAAAATTGACAACGCATTAATGATTGATAGTCAGTAAAACAGAAAATAAAGATCAAAGATCCCAATCATTTATCTCAATTGAGGAAAAAATTTCCAAAATTCTTAATAAAAACTCTTCATTATAAATATTAACAATAATACCAACTGCTTTTCATTGCAGGTCCTTCACTTTCTTGCATCTGCTAAAACATCTGAAGTGATTACGTATCTTATGCCTATGTTGATCCATTGTGCTTTATTGCAACTTGCTGAAGAAGGTTAGTTCAACTGTTATTGAAATAGCCATCAAATTATTTAAATAGTGTAAAATATAAGCTGAATTCCAAAAATGCTTTCTTTAAGTTGCATTTTTATGAGAAGAAAAGGGATATAATAATTTTTGAATAATGTATTTTTATTCATGTTCATTGCTTAAGTATTTTTGTTAACTGTACATTTATATATATTACATTATTTACTTATATATGTCAACCGTACATATTTATTATTATTGTAGAAGAATGTCCTCGTTCACTTCCTTTAAAACTAGAAGAAACTGCAATGAAAGCTGCTAAAGTAATGAGAAGTCCAGAGCCAAAGTATGAGGTATGAGTAATACTTTTTAATGAATCCTATATTACTATATTTTTAGAAGTATGTTTAATATTTCATGAAATAAATCATACACAGAAATTTACATCAAATTCTAAATTAACCATATTCAGGCAGATATCTATGCCATTATTTTACATCATACTGCTGAATATCTATTATATCAATCTTTTTTTAATACAGTGTTTTTAAGTGAGCAATGGGGTGAATTAATGCATCTGAATATTTAGTGTGGATCTGTATATCCGAGTATAGTCAAATCAAATTAATTAAATCCATTTTAATCCTAGTCCTCAATTTTTGGGACATAGTTTTTTCAATAATTGTAATTTGTTTTTGTAAAATCTGCATCTGTTTTGCAGGCATGTATATATTTAGTACCAGAGTATATATATTTAGTACCAGAGTTCTATAATTAAACACAGATAATATATGCACATTACAAATCTAAAAACACTATTTTAATTGCATATGATTTTCATGTACCAGTGCTTTGAAATTAGTAAAATAGAATATATATGTGTGAAACATAAACTTTTAAAATATTAAAAAGAATTCACACATTTTTCCATATGTGTGCACTGAAATTTTTCACATGAATCCTATATTACTATGATAACCTAAAATAAGATAACTAAATAACCTAAAATAAATAAATGATAACCTAAAATAAATATGATAACCTAAAATAAGAAAGCAAAAATATGTTTGTAATTTAATATTGTACAATTTTATATTAAAGCAATTACTGTGATAAAAAAGAATAATAATAATTTATTGAAAATCTATAGTTTTTATTTAAAAAATCATAATATTAAGGGTTGAATAATTAATTAATTAACAGATTTCATAACTAAATTACACTTTTATATGTTTTACTTCAAGAAAAAACAAAAGCCATAAGATACTACTTTTCTTTTGGCAGACTCTGGCTTCTAAGAAATGCATATTTATTAAAATATATCTGTTAATAAAACAAGAGTTCATAAATTAGAACAACTGACTGCTAAAAGAAAAACCTATAAATTTTATTATTCAGAAAAAATGAATGCAATTTAAATGCCATTCACCAGAAACTAAAATGCATTTGAACATGATACTTTATCATTCATAACTTGGAGGAAAAATTAACTTTAAAACTTAAATTTTATAATGAAGTTTTTATATAATTTTATAATAAAAAATTTAAACTTAAATTTATAATAAAGATTATTAAAAAAAATCTTATTATTAAAATTTACACGTATTTATAATGTTATTTACACTTCTATTCAATTAAATTGTGTTTGTTTTTAGGTAACTTAATGCATAAACATTATTAACATGATCATAAACAAACATTCTGATATCTAATACATGGACTTGTAAACTTGAATAAATACAAAAGGAAAAACTTGTAAAAGACATTAAACGGCAATGATTTTATGTTCTTAATCCCTTATAAATCGGCATTTCATATATGAAGTGCATGTTTAATTGTATAAAAATTCAATTTCATGATAGAAAGTCTAATTTGTAAAAATGATTTATGTTATACTAAGTATTGCTCTTAAGACTTTTAGAAAATATCAATTATAATTAATGATTAATTGTTTGCATATTAAATAAATCTCTTTAATAATTATTAGCATTAAAAGAAAATATTTTTAAACTTGTTTTCCTTATTGACTTCAAAAAATGCCTACAAAAATCAAAATTATGAACCCAAGGTAATAATATATATTATTTAAATTATCCAGTTTTGTATTAAATTTCAAAGTTGTACAAGTTTTCCAAAATGTAATACAATAAAAAAACTGAATATTTTATTTATAATAATTTTCTTCAAATCCAGCACTTGATATAAAAGTGAAGAGGACAATTAGTGAAATGAATATTTTCAAAATATTGATTGTTTGAAAAATGCACTAAATTTTTTTTTAAACTTCAGTAATGCCAAATTAAGTATTAAAGATTCAGTTTAGATGCTGAAAGCAAAATTGGCATAATCAAGTTTTATGGAGACCTGTAAATAATGTAGCAAGTGATTTTAATCTTTTAAGCTTCATAATATATGTGGCAACTACTCTGGTATAATTTGTTCCCTCTCATAACATATAAAACAATTATTTAACAACAAAAGGTCCTTTCTCACTGTCAGATCAAGTAATGAGATGAAACATGCTACCTCATTTTATTTTAGAAAAACATTTATTGCTATTGTTACAAATTTTATTATAAATGAAAATAATTAATAACTTGTCCCAAAATATCTTCTGTGCAATCCCAATTTTAACATTTATTCCTTCATTCTTTTACTCTGAGCATATTTTAGATGCTTATTTAAAGATTGTGTAATACTCAGATAGGCAAGAAAGGTGTAATTTGTTCCCTCATATACAAAGCTTCTTAATCATGGCAAAACCTTTATGCAAGTTGTCCACTATTTGAAAAAACACAGATTTTCTTAAGAGTGTCTCTACAATGCGGCTTTCCTATTCTTATGAAGCTCACTTTTTTGTATGAAAAGCAGCCTTTATAACAGTACTTTATAAGTTACTACCTAAGTAGCAAACTTTTGAATTCATTTGTTTTGCTATTTGATTAGCAAAAAAGTTTTTAATTTACTTAGTACATAACAGCATCTGACAAAGGTGCACTTTCCAGAAAAGTAGCTTTCTTCATGCTATAAATTGATCTGCACAAAGATGCAAACACCTTTATGTCACTTATAAAAATCTGCCATAATAGTAATTGTGAAACTTTGAACATAGACAAATTCACATAAAAGTACTAACATTATTATTAAGAAAGAATAGTAAACGTTATTGAAATGACACCATATGCTATTCTAACTTCACTGCGACATCAGTTTTTAAATCCTAAACATCTATATTATTATCTCTGAGATAGGTATTTTTGTATTAGTGAAATTGCATTTAATCTGTAACATTTTCAGTAGAAGCGATTACTTTATAATGCAGAAAGCTATATTAAATCAAGTTTAGTTTGTAAAATAAAAAAAAAGATGAATAAAATTTCATTAAATGAATGATTTTTTTATTTCATATGATAATACTTAAATATTAATAAATTATTATAAAATATATTAACATTTATTTAATAAACATAAGTTATAATATATACACATCATATTTTCAATTTATACAGGTATAGAACAATTTTTTGTAGAGTTTCTGCTTTTTTTTCCTTTTACAAAATAAGCTTTTGGTTTATACATTTTCATTGTTATGAATGAAAAGTGTCCTGGTCAGATATTAATGTTTTATTTATTAACGTTAATGATATTAATGTTATTATTAATGTCTTATAATAAGCATAAAATTTTATTAAGTATAATTGTACGGACTAAAATATACAAAACTTTTTTTTTTAATTTTAAAATACCATAGAACAAATATTTAAATTCATTTAAAATAGAACATTCACTTAAAATATTTTTGTAAGTGAAAGTATATATCTGTGCTCAGTGGTTGAAAAAAGGCAGCTTAAGAACTTTTATGACACAGTATATAATATGCACTATCATTGAAAGTGCAGCAGGCAACAGACAGAAAATCTTTGTACATAAAATAAAGATCAGTAGCTTTCATTCCAGATATTTTTCAAATTTATTGGTGTAACATCTAGATGTTTATTTCACATAGTTTTTATTGAATTTGTTGTTAAACAACACAAAATTATAAATATGAAAAACCCAATCATCAAACTCTTATCAGAAGTAATATACTCTTATCAGAATTACAAAGAAAATGAACTGCAGCTGATTATACAGATGTAATTAAATAACATCAGTACTCATCTATTGAATTGATCCACAGAGAAAACATTTTGCTTAGCATCATGATCATTTTACAAAAACAGCATTCAGTTAACGTTCAGTGCTATACATTGCATCACATGAAATTTATGAGCAGCAAATATTTTATTTAGTTTTCAAGCAAGCAAAGCGTTTAAGCAAATGTTTTATAGTTGTAAACTTGGCCTATAATGAATTAGAATAAAACTGAGAATGCTTTGCAAATATACATATCATAGTTTAAATATTTTGACTAAATGTGTATCATGCTTAATTTTTAGAGCTATCAAAGTGAGAATTTTTATAAATAACTACAGGGAAGGGAATGTAAATTAGCAGCATATGTTTTCCTTTGAAAATATCTAGCATGATACAAGAGACCTCTTCATTTACTTAAAGAATATAAATCTTAGGATGTTTAAAAAATACTGTAGTTCAAAATCATAGAAAAAATAATTTATTTGCAAAGTTTCAAGTTAAATTTGTAAGAGGGAGTCTTGTTTTGCTAAGAATATTAGTGTAAAATTATAATAAAATTTTACACCTAATTTTTGCCAGAGTTTTACAAAGGTTCGCTTAAAAATATCTATTTCATGGGAAATTAATGATTACATGTACAGGTTCTAGAAAGAATCTGAAAATTTCAAGTTAGCTTAGGAACTGTTATCATTCAATTCTCTTTAAATGCATTGTGGAATATGCCAGAGAAAATTTTTTTGTTATATTATTTACAGATTATCATAATAATGGGAAATATATCATTTCCTATCTTATTACAATTTATTTCTGTCACATTCGTAAACAATAAAAATTCAGACAAATATACCAAACAAACAACTATTGAAATCATAAATAATGTCAACAGTTGTATAACAAAAAGTCAAATTTTTTTAAGGCCTGGTATATTTAATATCCTGTTTACTATGACTCCATTTCCTCAGCAGGTTGCTATATTTTTTTTTTTAATTTACAAGCCAAATATCAGCAATTTCTTGGTTTTATACAAGCATTTCTATACATTTACTGTTTTTATTTATTTATTTTTTAAATATCTAGATTTATCAAAATACAAGATTTAATAAAATATTTTGTTCATAATAAATAAATCAAATATTTTATTTATTATTCATAAAAAATGAATATACATAATTCAAATAATTTAAGATATTTTGGATCAAATCGCTAACTTTTAAATAAATATTTTTGTGCAGTTCTCATAATCGATATAACTTTCAAGTTTTAATTTGGAAAATTATTTGTAGGTGTAATTTAGCTCATAAGGTAGGCTGTTTTTATTTCTCAGCATAATCTTCATAATATTTTATGCACTTGTTCCATCAGTTTATTTGTGCTGCAATGACAGCTGCATAAAATTCTTTGGGTTGCTGTCTTAACCACTTTAGGACTACATATTAAACAACTTCTATCTGCAAAACACCATCTGCTATTATCATCTGCAAAGCATTTGTCTCCAGGGTGATTTTATTTTAGTGAACCGAACAGATACAGATACTATTATCATCTGCAAAGGATTTGTCTCCAGGGTGATTTTATTTTAGTGAACCAAACAGATACAGATACTGATTCTAGTATACAGATTTATCTTTCTCAGATAAATTCCTCCACCCTCTGTGCTACTGAGTCTACCTCAATCTTAGCAAGATGCCCATTTTGTTTTCATCATAAACTCTGGAGAGGCACTGGGAAAATTTATCAACTTGCTTGTACACAGCTGCACATAACAAACACTTCTTTTCATAAATAGGAAACATTCCTTTATGAATATCTTTTGCAGGATCCTTCTAAGAAATTAATAACAGCCTTCTGCTGCTATCAGATTCATTGAGGTCAGCATTTTCAAACTGAACTACGCATATGCAACTGATACAACTAATAAAATGAATATCATGAATTAGGAGAGTTCTGCACCTATTTAACATACATGGAAAATAATCATTGCTCTTTTCAAATATATCATATAAATTTGTGACTGACTGAAAAGTTTTTTTCCTCATATTTTCCAAACACATGAATTTAGTGAGACAGAAGATAGTCTTGAAAACTATTTTATTTCAAAATCGATGAGTAAAATTATATTAGAAAAATCTCCAGTTAATTATTGGGATATATCAATTTTAACTGATGCACTCCTCTTTTTTATTGATTTGCAAATAATATTGTGATTAAAGAAATCTAAATTTTTGTGTAAATTGTTTAAAAATTGAAGTTTTGTTGATTGGATTTTCTGCCATTAACTTCGCTATTCATTCGAAATATTAGAACCTCCTAGTTATTGTTGATCGATTTATAAATCTTTCAAACTCATAACCACTCAACTTAATTTTTCCAAAAATAAGCAAACAAAAATGCTCACTGTTTTGAATATTTCTTGAGATTATGGTCACTTATTAGTTCTTGTAATTCACAACTGTATTTATTCTATGTTGGGCTTTTTGTTGTATTTCCCTTATTGAAACTTTGATTTTCGCAGCTTATATTTTGATATTTATTGTATATATTTCACTGTACGGAAATTTTGTGTATTTTGCTTTGCTTGAATATGTATTTGTAATTTTAACTACTGTAATTTCATGTTCTAAACTCTTTTCCAACATCAGTTTTAAGCTCATTTTAGAAAGCTGTTGCAGTAGAATCCCACAAACTCAACTCCCAATATCTCAACATTCTCTATAACTCGACAACTTTTTAGGAACTTTTTTAATATATCTCTACACCAAACAGAGCAAATATTACATACAGTACATATAATTATTATTTATGCGTATGTCTTTCCTGTTCTGTTTAAAGATTTGATTGTACTTTTTCTGTAATTTTTACTGTTTTTGCCCTGTGCCATTAATTTTTGGAACTGCCTAACAAATTTCAAGATATGTTGTAATACTTGGTAATGCTGTTTACTTCTTTTGAGAATACAGTCAGGTAGCAGCTGGCTGCGGGCTCACATTCTTTTCTGTTGTTGCGAAACATTAGGAGACTTGTCTGAAGTTTTATGACTGCATCTTATTGCAAACTAAACTCACACTCGTTTCTCAGTTCAGATCCAGATGTATAAGTATTAACATATTTTGGGGAACTTTTGATATTCTGTGAAATGAAAATGTCTTTTGAAAAGAAAAGAAAACAAATTAACGTAACAATAGAAATGAAATTAGATGCCTTAAAAAGACTGGACAAAGAGGAAAGTGTAAACAAAATTACCATTGATTTAGGTGTTGGATGGACTACTTTGATAGGGTAGAAAAAGAAGAGGTCTGAAATCAAGCCTTGATGTGTGAAAAGAGCATGTACGGATAGTTTTAAGGAAAGAAAAAGTATGAAAGTTGGTGAATACGAAGAAATGAGTGAGGCGCTTTATTTGTGGTTCAGGCAGCAAAGGAAACAGGGAATACCCATTTCAGGACCAATTTTACAAGAGAAAGACCTAAAATTTTATGATGAATTTCAAGAAGGAGAGCTTGGATTTACTGGTTGGCTCGACAGACAGTGCTGGTTGGCTCGACAGATGGAAAAAGCAGTACAGCATCAGGCAGTTGAACGTTTGTGGTGAAGAGATATCTGCTAACTTGGAAAATGCTGCAATATTCAAGGATAATTTCCACAAACTAATTGAAAAGGATGGCTTATCTGGAGATCAAATTTATAGTTGTGATGTTCAAATTTATAGTTGTATAGCTGAATTTTAACCCTTCAAAAACGCTGGTATCCAGGGAAGAAAAATTGGTACCTGGCTATAAAAGAAGTTAGGAGAGAGTCACAATCTTGGTATGAAGTAATGGCAGCCATAAGTTCAAACTAGCACTTGTAGGCAACTCAAAAATTCCCTGGGCATTTAAAAACATAAAAAAGTACACTAATGGAACCGAAACCAATTATGATCTTCCTATTTGGTACCGGAAATTGTCAAACACATGGGTGAATGGAGCAATATTTAATGATTGGTTTAATCAGTTCGTTCCATCGGTGGAGAAGTTTTTAAAATAAAAAAAAAAATCTATTAAGGAAAGCGATTCTCATTCTAGACAATGCCTCGTCCCATCCTGATGCAGAACAGTTATGAGGTGGAGATATAAAAGCCGTGTTTTTTCTTCCTCCTAATGTCACTTCAATATGTCAGGCAATGGAGCAGGGCGTTTTGGAGCACTGAAGAAAAAATACAGACGTAAACTTCTTTCATCTCTTATCCTAGCCATGAAGGAAGGTGTGATATGATAGAGAAACTGAAGAAAATAGGTATGTTGGATAGATAGCTCATTCTTGGAGTGAAATTGAGCAGACAAGCCTTGTTCGTTCCTGGAGATAAATTTGAGGAAAGCAGAGAAGAGACATAAAATTGTGAAATAGTTGACTTTCTTAAGAAAATTTCAGGCTTTGAAGAAGTTACTGATGGTGATATCGAAGAATGGATGGGGCAAGATAAAAATTGTGAAATTTTATCACATGCAAAAATAGTTGCACTGGTGAAAGACAATGTGGATAAAAATGAAGATAAATCAGAAAACGAAGAGATGGAAGAGCTAAAATGCTGACCCATTGTGAAAGACTGAAGGCTGCTGAAGGAATGTTCCGTTACAAGAAGGAGAAAGATGCATCTGATATGGATATTTTGTTCCTCTGTTGCCTACAGGAGAGCTGCATGACGACAGAATGAGAGTGAAAGACCATCACACTATATTTTTCTACCAAGAACTACAAATAACTTTTCTTCATTTTTGTATGTAAGTTTTTTTACTCAATTATCTTAGACTATTTGTTCTTTTTATAACTCCTATTATTCTAGAACTTGACATAAAAAATCAACATTAATTTAATTGTATGCTGTACTTTTCCATGTCCAATATTGTGTTACAAATGTCTAGAGTAATTTACAGTTAAATATTAAAAGTTCTGAAAAACCCGCCCTTTATTCTGCAAAACTCGACTTTTCGGGAACTCGACAGTCTCTCAGTCCACATTATGTTGAATTTGCTTATTATTAAGTAATATAATTATATTTCATGCTAGAAATATTTAAATATATTGCAGTGTGTATATATTAACTATATATAATAACTATATTAACAGTGTGTGTTTTGAAAGGATAGCATCTTGCTTACTGAAGTGTTTTGTAATTTTCTTGCATGGGTTTGTTATGAAATGTTTTACCAGAACCAAACAAAGCCTATTTAAAATTTTATTTTTGAAGGGTGTATTAAGATGTTTGTATCAAGCAGAAGTTATAGTAGCTCAAATTCAGTCTGTGAGCACAAAATTTGGCTTGCTATGCAACTTGGAAGAAATGCAATCTAAAGCCACTGAGAGTATGCAAGAAATGACTCGATCATCTTCAATGGAAGGAGTTTCTTCATCTTGGAAATCAAGCCTAAAAGATTCAGAAAAGGCCTCAGAACAGAAAGAAATCCGTAAGTTCGTCTTGGATCTTCTGGATAGTTATGAAGTTGATGTACCAGGTGCAGGAAAAGGTGTTGTAGGAAAAAGAATAAGACATTTATTTGCTGAAGCTCAGAGAGTAAGTTTTTTTTTTCTTCGTAATAAACCTCTTCCTTTGCATTTTTCAAAATTTTGCTTTTGAAGAACAATGTTCCCCTTTTTTAAATTTATTTATATTTGATAACAATATTTGTGACTTATGTTTTTACATTTAGCTTAGAAAGGGAGATTAAAGTTAAGTATCAAATCAAAGAAACGAAAAATAGTTAATGAAAGTCGGGGAAAGACAAGAAAGTTTTAGAAAGACAACTACATCCATTTTTTTAAATAATAATTTGATTTTTTAAACAACAATCAATATTCAAAAACTGCCATCTTAGAAAAAAGAAAAACTAAAAGTTATTTTAATCTTAGCTTTTCTTTCACAAAATATTTTACTTGTCCCTTACCAGATACAATATACAGTCAAAAGTCGTTAATCCGGACTCGTCGGGACTTCGGCGATTCCGGGTTATCGATTTTTCCGGATTATAGGTCATCAGTTTAAATCTCCTAAAATGGCATGCAGAAATTCTAAAATTAAAAATATGAAACCGTAATTTATGAAAATAAAGAACAATTATGATCTAAAGAGTATCAAAATTTACAAAAAGAAAAAACTTAATATTTATTTGTTTACTTTATTAAACATTTCCTTCAATGTAAGTTGCTTCGTTTCATGTGATAATACTTTCTCTTTAATTCTATTAAACAGACATAATTTCTTGTTTAGTTACAAAGTTCCGCTGTTCAAGTACTATAATTGCTGTGTTGAGAATACCGACTAATTTGTCAATCGAAATGTTTTCGTTTTCAATAACCTCTCTGTCACCTTCTTCATGTCTTTATCCATTTTTTGCAGCAATTCCATTTTTTGTTTGATGGACATCGAAACATACTTTCATTTTGTAGATCCTTTGGGTGCTCCAGCATCGGAAATTCTATTTGACATAATCGAAAGTTAAAGTTTACTTTTATAAAATTGCTCTTACAGTCTGAAAAAAGTAATAAGCCGGATCCAGTTCAAATATATTAATCAACAACGCAATTATCAATATTAACTGAAATAGATAATTAGATAATTTTAGCTTATACCGTCTGCTATACATTAAACGCGCACGCGAAAACGTATTCTGCACTTGCGCACACGCATATACGCAGTCGTAAAGGTCTTACGCGCATGCGTAAACGCCTATGCGCATGTGTCAATGCGGTGCATGCGCAGGTATTTTAGCTTTGAGGTCCGGATTATGGGTGTCCGAATTAATGACTTTTGACTGTAATTATATCCTTCACCTGCTAATGAGTTGCCTTTCATTTTTTTATTACTGTAATTTAGAAGCATAGCTGTTCTGTCATCTTTTTATATAAAAGTGTAATTTTGCTTCAAAAATGACTTATGTAATTTAGAAGTCATTATACTGTAGAATTGTGCATTAAAATAAATAAGCATTTTAATTACATATTTTTTCTATCTAATGTATTTTTAGCTTTTCAGTTTCATTTTAGTATACTATATAATAAAGTTTATTATGAATATATTGTCATAAATTTAAAATGAAGATTTTCACAAAATTTTATATTTCTTTTAAAGAAATTCTTACCAATTATTTTGAATGATTTAGACTAATAATTTTCATATGTATTTCTTTGACATTAGATGCTAGGTGAAATAGAGGAAAATTTAAGCTGTTAATTTAGTTAATACAGTAGAAAATCTGAAAGCTGGATATCCAAAATCCGGGCCTATGGATCACCAGCAACTTCCCCTCCCCCCATAATTTTTTGGCATGCTTTACACATGCACATTTAATACTTTTTTCATAATAAAACATGGGAGATAATTTTATAATAAACTTTTATAGTTTTGATTCCAACTTGGAGAATCATTATTTATTACCTTTTGTTTTCATCACTGTATGATTTTTAGCATATGACAGCTTGAAAAATGACTTGTGCAGTGATATCGGAACTTTTTTTTTAAATATTAGTAACTCGACACCAACTTTATTAAACAACCGTAGTACTTTTTAAGTTGACATTATGCTTAACAGGGATTACAGACTTCAGCTAACTGGGCTGTGAAGTGTAAAGTGTGTTGGCAAGGAAAAACTGGGCAATTTTTTTTTTTTTTTTTTTTTTTTTTATCCATATAAAAAAAAAAAAAAAAAAAAAAAAAAAAAAAAATTTTATAAACAGTACTTAAAGGTCAAAAGTTTATATTTTATGCTGTTTGAATTGTGAATAGCTGATCTGTTATTCAAATAAGCCCGGGACCAGCGGCAGAGCTGTTGTGGCCACACCAGGCAGCAGAATTTAGAAAACACAAAATTTTAAGAATTTAGAAAAACACCGAGCAACAAAATTAAGGGATGGCAAAATGATTAGAATTTAGGGAGGGCACTGGTATGCAAAAATTTTAGGCAGGCACTTAGCAGCAGAATTTAGGACATGCAAAGACTGTAAAATGTCTGGTGTCAGTCCTGGATAAACCTAAAGAATGTGTGGGAATTCATTTATTCATCACCCTGATAAGTCTTAAGCATGTGGATGAAATAGGCAAAAGTAGATTAACTTCCTCAGCATGCGATAGAAGCAAGACAAAATTTAGGGAACAGCATGTCTTTAATTTCCAATCTTGTGATACATCACCTGTAGTGTATAGAAGACGCTAAGTTTTACGATGATAGCTGTGAATTTAAAGGTGTTTTAGGTATCACAAACAAAAAGTAGTTTTTTCCAATTAATGGAATTTGTGAAGAAATGATAAACATATGTAAATGATATAACAAAATTTTCCATTGACCATGCCCCAGTCATTAGTCAGCTATCAAAATTGACACCAATAATCAACAATGAAGAAAGTGCCAAAGAGGTAACTGAGAATGAAAAAATTGCATTTGAAAATTTAGTGAGAATTCTTGACCATTATTTCATATTCAGGACATAAGAAGGAAACTGTGACAAGAAATTATATATGTGTATAGAATTAAAAAGGAAATATTCATACAAAAAACAAATCAACTTGAACAACTTACATTGATTTTTTTTTTTTTTTTTTTTTTTTTTTTTTGGGTACCCTTAGGATTATGAATGCTTCATTACTTCATAAACCATTATTTCATATTTTTTTATTTTATAATTTCTGCATGTCATCTTGCTAGATTTAAACTTAAACATCATATTAGACCTAATATCCTTAAAATCCCAAATATGAAATCACCGAAGTCCCGGTTATCCGTATCTCAGACTTTATACTGTAATAATGCAGTTGACTATACTAGAACGACCCACAAGGAACTCCCATCTGATCTTCCGTAAGTATATTTTCTATCATGTAAAGCAGCCATTTGATACAGATTTTTTTTTTCCAAAATTGCTAAATCATTTAAATATTTGACTAAATTTATTATATGCATGGTAGAGAGTTAATTTCTAATACAATCTCATGTTCAACATCTGTATTCTAGATTGCAGCCTGTTGAGATTACAACATATTCAGTGTTTGTCTTAGTTTCATCTCTGGCTCATTACTAGTGATTATCTTTATCGGTGTAATTGCATTTGATGCTTTTTGTGTACTAAGAATATTAATCAAGATAAATTATCTCTACAGGCATCACACTTAATTCTCGATGAGAAACCTCTAGCAGCTCCCTCAACACCCACTGAAAGCAATGACAATCATTCTACTGTTTCTGAATTCCCTGCACCGTCTGGTAAGGAATTTATTCTCAGAACATCTATGTGTCGGCCTCCAGGTTGTACAGTCACCCCTCAACGCATGTATTGTGTTATCACACGAGAGGAGTTTCGGCTGGCTGGTGCATTCAGTGAAGATACAACTTTTCTATGATTGCACATTTTTAATTATATAAGAGTACTTTTTCTATGCGGATGTTGGTTATATAAACAATTATACATTTTTGTTTTTATTTTAATAGGCCTGTAAAGCTATGTATCAATTCCACAAATCTAACTATGTGAATTACTTTTAATATACAATACATAATTTTTCTAAATAGGTTAAAAATATACTAGAGAATGCAGACTATTCTAAATCCATTTTCAGTTTTATTACTGTTCCTATTGCTTAATGAATTTCTATATTTAAATCTTTAATGCTTAAGAATCACTGTTATTGCATAAATCTTTTGTTATTAATTTCTTGGGCTCCATGTTTTTATTAAATTTTTGAGTTTTGTTAAATTTACTAAAAATGGCAAGTTAATATTTTTAAATTGATATTTCATAAATGAGTAATAAATTTATTTTTATAAATTCAGTCTTTTAACTTTATCTTATGTTACTCTGCATGTACAATAATGGTTAGGAATAATTAATATAATTACTTTTTGAGAAATTAAGAAAGGAATTATCAGAAAAGTTTAGAAAAGGTGGTAACTCTTGATTATTCTCAAAATTTAACTTTAAATAACCCTATATTATAAAATATGTAAACTATTCACCCATTAAAAGGAAATTAAATGGTGTAATATAAGATAAGCTTCAAAGCCATATCAATATGTACATCATATATGAATTACCTGTGTGCAAAATGAAAATACAGAAAAGTCTTTCAGAATTTGTAGATATCATTTTACTTTAAATTTTACTCAATTCTAAATTAAAAACTGAAAAAAATGCACATATAATTTTAATGAACTAGACATTAAAATGTATCATGAAAACAATATAATAAGAAAGAATTTTGAATTGTTATAATTAAAACTGAAAACGCATTTATTTATCTGTATTTAAATATTCCAATTTTATCTATATATGAAACAGTTTTCCTATATTTTTTCAGTCAAGACTGCATTTTAAATCATTTAGAAGTTTTCTATGGTTTTTTTTAAAACCCTCATAGTCTCAAACTAAAAAATAATAAAAATTTGGATGCTAGCTTTCATTTGTTTGTTTTGTTTTATTTGCAGTTTTCAAGTAAATTCAGTAATTAACTTCCTTGACATATTAAGCTATTGTTAGTTTTCCCCTAAGTTCTATTTCATATTCTGATGCAAGAAAATGTTATGAAGAATTGGAAAAGATATTTCATACTAAAATATTCTGTACACTGTTTTTGCTTAAGATAACAAAAAGTTAACTTGAATGTGAAATACGTGGCAGATTCATTATTTATTAAAGTATATGGTTTTAGATAGAATTTGGTGAATAATGTAATTTAATTATGAATTTCTTCCATTTGTCCAGTTTATCAGGGAGAAAAATTTCTTGGTTATTTATAAAACAGCTGGAATAGTTTTGGCAAGAAAATTAAATCTACATTTAGAAGACATTTGTTATCATTATTTTAGTTCTGTTGATTGAAAAAGTACCATTTATGTATGTATTAATGTCTGTGGTTCCTAACTTAGCAGCAGATACGAGAGAGGAGAACGAGAATCACGTGACCTAGCATTGCTTCTTCATTGGTTAGAATTTGCATGAGCATAAAATCACTTTCTTTGATGATTTAACGAAATTATGATAATTAAGTTCTAATTAAATGCAATGTAAGTACTGAGGCAGTGCAATATTGGTTGGAGAATAAATTTTGGCCGAGCATAAATCTTAGAATTTTCAGTACCTTTCAGTAACTGTAAAAGGGGCGGGAGAATCACATGGTCCAATTGAAAGTTTTCCAGGGAAGTCGAACGATTCACAATACACAAGTTAAACTTATTTGCACAAAGTCCATTTGTTACATAGTCCAAAAACGTGCAAAATTTTACATATTCAATATTAAATAATACAAAAAGAAACTAGAAAATATTTACACTATACACACATTCACCATTTCGAGTGATGATGAATGGAGCGTGGTCGCTTGACTTTACTTTCAATTGTAGGGTTGTAGTTTACAAGATTTTTTATGCCTTCATTTTGAGAATTGTTTATACTATTAAAGAAGTTATGCGCCGTGATGAGAATTTGATCTTGAATTTCCGGGTTTTTTAAATCTTCGTAGATAATTGTGTTTCTCACAAACCATGGGGCATTTGTAATTGACCGCAAAACTTTATTTTGCAGAATGCTGATTTTCTTCCGGCTTGTTTTACTTGCAGTAGCCCAGGACGGGACGGCATATAGTAAAATAGGACGTATGAGGGTCAGATAAAGTGTACGTTTCGTGCTTAATTTCAGTTTGGAATTTCGCCCTATTAATGCATAAATTGCCATAAATGCGGCATTTGCTTTATTTGTGATGTAATCAATATGTTCTTCGAACGTGAGCTGATTATCTATGTGAACGCCCAGATATTTGTATGAATTTGCATTAATGGATAGGAATGTTGTTAATTCGAATATCAATTTCCACAGGGAAGAATTTTTTGTACCTTCTCTACAGAACTATGCAACATTTTGCAGGATTTAGCTTGATTTTCCAGGTCTTACACCAATTTTCTATAATTTTCACTTGCTGCTTTAGCTTATCAATAGCGTGCTGTGGGTTGAGTGAATTAGTTAAGATGACAGTATCGTCTGCGTATTTAAGTACTTTTTAGAATTTTCTGGGTTGGGCATGTCGTAAACATATATATTAAAATTTCTCGGAGATAAAACAGAACCTTGAGGCAACCCTCTTTGAATATTTTTCGTAGATGACAAAGTATCTCCGCATCTTACTTGGAAAGATCTTTCTTCCAGGTAAGAAATGAGGAGTTTAAGAAAACTACTTGGAGCGAGAATCTGGCTAATTTGTAAATTAGTCCTGCATGCCACACTCGATCGAAAGCTTTTTCGAAATCGAGGTAGCATGCAGCAATCCATTTTCTTATGAAATTCTCCTGCGATGAATTCTACCAAATTTAAGATTTGATGGGTGGTGGTTGAATGTCCTTCTTTAAATCCGAATTGCTTGTTTATCAATATTCGTTTAATTTGTGCAATGTAAGGATTAAGCCTTTCACTTATTATCCTCTCGAAAACTTTGCTGATTGCTGGTAATAAGCTTATCGGACGATAAGAAGTAATTTCCTTCGGGTCCTTTTTCCTGGTTTGATAAGCATTATGACGATTGAGTGTTTCCACTGTTTGGGAAAATATGTCAGTCTAATGCATGCGTTGAAATGCGTTGAAAAGATTTCTGAGAATGATGATACAGTTATTAGGGAGGGCTTGAAGAGTTTCATTATTAATCTTATCGTAGCCTTTCGCTTTTTCTTTTTTTTTGAAGTTTTTGATTATATTTTTAATTTCCGTAGTCGAGGTGAAGTTTACAAAATTAGAGTTTCTTTTTAAGAGAATTTCTTCGACTGTGTTGTTTATTGTGTATTCAAACTCTAAATTTTCTTCTGCGTGTTTTTCGTAGACTTTTTCTAAGTTCGAAGCCATAGCCTCTGCAATTTCTTCTTCCGAGTTTTTGATTGTTCTTGAAGTGCGGAGTGACTTTGCAATTTTCCAAACTAGGTTTGGCTGTAAATCCATGTTTTCCATAAGGGAGTCCCAGTTATTCGAGCGGAAATTAATTATTTCCTGAGAGATTTTCCTGTTAAGATAATTTACATGAGCTTTAATTCTAGGACAACGTGTAAGCTGCCAGCGTTTTCTTTGCCTGTTTCTTTCTTTTATTAGATTGAGAATATTCTGAGGGAGCTTCTGCGCAATATTGTTTTTAATGGTATAGGTAGGCGTGGAAATAGCATTTTGAATATTCTTGTTAAGCTTACTGATTTCTTTTTCAATATCTTTGGGATTATTTATACTTTTGAACTAATTAAATGAACTAATTAAAGTATTTTATTTATACTTTAATTAGTTCATTTTTATAAATAACCCAATTTACTTGTACTCTAGGTTTGATCAGCGGTGGGTAAAACCCATAAAAGTCAAATTTAATCGGATAGTGATCAGAAGTGAGTTGTTCGATGACTTGCAGATGTGGGGTGGTGTTGACATTTTTGAGAATAACTATATCCAAAATAGATGCTCTTCCGTCATAGTGATACCTTGTGAGGATGTCTGGGGCTATAATTCGAATATCAGAGTTATTTGCATAGTTGTTCAAAATATTACCATTTCTTTTGTTAGAACGGCAATTCCAATTTGTATGTTTTGCGTTAAGATCACCCGCAACAACTGTGGGGTATCTAAAGCTTGTTAAGGCGTTCAGATCATTGTTGCTGAGAGTGTTGCTTGGAGGATTGTACACAGAAATGAACAGAAAGGGTTCATTGAATCCCGTGTAAATGAGAGCTGCCGTGTTTTCAATACTTCCGGTGTTATGCACTTCGAAATTGGTATTCTTAATATGGTTTTTGATGAGTATTGCTGTGCCGCCTCCTCTATTATGATATCTGTCCGTCCTGATAGTGCAATATCTTGGGATTCTAAATCTGTTACTGGGAATTAAGTGGGTTTCGTTAATCATCATTACATCAATGTCGTGAGAATTTAGGTAGTTGATTAATTCATCTTTTTGTTTGAGAATGCCATTGGCATTAAAATACGAGACTTTGAGAAAACTTGTAGTTGCAATAAAATTTGGGTTATAGTTTTGAGGCGTAGAATTCATAGTTGAGGTTTATGAAATATTCAAACGCAGTCATTCCGACTTCTAGTTTCTCCATTATAGTTTTTGCAGCCTTGAATTTCTTAAAAAAAATCTTTAATTTGAGTGAATTGTTTTTTAATCCATTCGAAGAAGTTAGGTTCGTTCTGATTGGTGTTTGCCCATGAGGGCGTGTCAGGGATTTCCTGCGGGTTTTGACTTGGTAGTTTTGGAAAGTCTTCTGACTTTAATTTAAATTCTTTTCGTTTTGCATTCTTTTCATTTCTTTTCGAATTTTTTACTCCTCTATTTTTTTTTTTTTTAATGTTCTCCGGGTTTTTACAATAACCGCGATAAGACGACACATGATCTAGTCCGCAAAGGACACAAATTGGTGGATCCTTTCCTTTTGTAGACTTGCATAAGTAAGTTTCATGTGGTTGGGTGCATTTTAGGCATCTGGGAGTATAGTGACACAAGTCCCTGGTGTGGCCGTACCGTTGGCACTTATGGCATTGTACGGGACCTGGCCTCGATTTATAATTTGTCATAATGATGTCTAATCCACGTAATTTTTTCAGTTCGAATATTTTCTTACCAGTCTCGTTTCCTTGCACCTCAACAACAAAAACTGGTAAATTAATTTTTTCTCCTTCCCGTATTGCGGTGATTTGCCTTATTTTTAGAATTGGGATGCCTAAATTTTGTATCTCCTGCTGAAGAAGTTCAATGTTAGTAGTTGCTGGCAGTCCTTTTATAACTGATTTGATCGGTTTTTTAGAATTCATCTGATACGTGTGGAAGGGTACCCCACGCGCCTTCAAAAATTCTGTGACTAATCTATAGTGCTTTCCATCAAAAACACGTATAGTCAGTCGTCCACCTCTGAGGTTTCCTGTGTAATTCTTTACACCTAGTTCCTCAATTTCGTCTTTGAGCTTATCCCAGTTTCCTTGGAAATCAGCTAGAACTATTGGGGGGATGTGTCCCGCAACTTTTTTAGGTAACTCAAATGGGCTTCGTTTGAAGTCTCGGCATCCATGTTTACCTCGTTATTTAGGTTTTCAAATTTATTGTTTTGTTCGTGGTAGTTTATTTCCTCAACCGAATTACTTCTTTTATGAGTTTTCCGGGGGGAGATAAATCCTTCCGAGTCTGTCATTTTCTTTTTTCGGGATTTTCCGCTGGCGGTTCTTTTTAATTTCCTAGCAGCGTCATTTTTTGGTGGAATTGTAACTTCTTGTTTGAGTTTAGGATATTTATTTCCTGCGACATTTCGTTAAAGTTGAAGATATTTTCGTTTTAAGAAATCATTGAATAGTTTTAGCATATTTGCTAATTCAATATATTTTGGATCTGTTTCCGGTAAATTTGCTTTTTGTAGAATTTCAAGATCATTGCGAATTTTATCAATGTAAAGTTCAACCAATTCAGGGGTTACTACTCCTTTATTATCCTCTCGTATCTGCGTTAGGAATTTAACAATCAGGGGATCATATGGTCCAGCTTGCGCTGCCATGTTAAAATTTGCTGCTCACAATTTTTGCTATCTGCTGCTGCTAGCTATTGTTGGCCTGGCAATGCATACTGAGATAACAAAAGAAAGATCTTACCCAGAGTCAAGTCGCTCGATGAGTCAGGAATCGCTGTTGAAAAACTGCTTCGCCCCCGCTCTGCAAAATCCGACCTAGTCTCCTAGAGCTCAGCGGTCGAATGAATGAAAAATAAAATTAAAAAAAAAAAAAAAAAAAAAAAACCTTACCATCTATTTATAGATTTCAAGGCAGCATATGGCAGTATAAAGAGAGATAAGCTATTTGAAGCAATGCTAGAGTTTGGAATCCTAACCAAGCTTATTAATTTAATTACAGCTACATTTGGTAAAATGAGATGTAGGATTAAAATTTAAAATAATTTATCTGAACCTTTTATAACAGAAAGACACAAATGTTAAGGAGTTTCCCTTGCTTGCCTGCTATTCCATTTAGCTTTAGAAAAGTGCATCAGAGACGGCAGTTTAAACCCAAGGGACATTTTGTGGAATAGGTCCTTGCAAATTTTGTCCTGTGCAGATGATACAGTTATTACTGGAAGGTCAAAAAAGCAGCAACTGAGGCTTTTTCAACTCTTGAAACTTCTGCCACAAATATAGGCCTCACAGTCAATGAGTATAAAAGTAAATTCATAGAAATTACTACCATAGTAAACTATCAAGTCAATGAGTATAAAAGTATCGTATCATACCTCCATAGTAAATATCGTTATCCTATGTGCATTAATGGTCACACCTTTGAAAAGGTTGAGGACTTTAAATACCTTGGCACTAATTAATGACAAAAATAAGTTAAAAGCAGAATGGCTTATAAATGCTTCTTTGGGTTATGAAGACGATTAGGATCTAATCCAGCAGTTCTCAACCTTTTGACTAACGTGTACCATCAAAACAAAAACTGAAAAATCTTAGCACCACCACTACATTTTACTATGATTATTTTTCAGCTTCTCAATAGAAATATTAAAAAACATATATTTTGCCAATTCCATAACCTATTGGCTATTTGTATTAAATATAAATAATAAAGAAATATTAGATTAAAAATTGGTTACCATTTTAATTATCAAAATTTAAGTTATAACACTTTAATTCTAAAATTTAGCATGAAATTTGGGCCTGTTTAAAAGAGATCAATTTCTTTTTATGTCTGGTCTTATTTCACTTCGTTTTAACCATAAATTAGGATCCACTTTTAATTTTGTTCTGTATTTATTTTTCAAATATAACATGGAAGAAAGTCTTTGTTTACACAAATAGGTTGTGCAAAAAGTCAGTAAAAATTTAACAGCTTTATTTGAAATACCTTTAAAATCTTTTTCTCAGTTCAGCCAAAAGTTGACAAGCGTGTTATTTTTTGAAATCTTCAGTTTAGAGTTCGATTACAGGAAATTTCTATCAATTGTTATTTTCCTCACTAGATAAAATTTCATGTACATTTAAACAAAATGGATTTCTAATCTAATTTTTTTTCATAATCCTTGGGAAAATACATGATGAAATGATTTATCAATGAAAAACAATGATTTTTAATGTCAGACACTAATTCTTTTATTTTCAAATTATTTTCGGTTAGAAAACTTTCTAAAAGTGGTGAAAAGCTTAAAATATTATTATCCAATTCTTTAATTATTATCTGGAGCTTTTTTTTTATCATTGCATTTATTTTATCTCTAATAGTAAACAAATTAACACTTTTTCCTTGTAATCCTAAATTTAATTCATTTAACTTTCCACATTTGAGTATCTTTCATTACAATGGATGGTGTAAGTTGAACTTATTTAAAAAGATTCAAAGAGAAAAGATTGTACTGATCAACATTGGGAGGGGGGGACAGGAATTTCTGATACGTTTTTGGCAACATAGCTGTGGCTATCACATCAACTCTTTTTTTCTGAGGTGGGTGGTTATTAAAATATCTCATCTCACTTTTTTCAATAAATCTGTTGGAATGACTTTTAATTCTACAATGTACACTGATGTCTATAATTCCTGCTTATATTTAATGAATTTCAAATTCTAAATATTATTTTATAACAGTATATTATCTTGAAAAAATTCATACTGTGACAGTCAAATTATTCCACAACTGACAGTGGGATATATATTCTCTCTTCTTCAATATTTTATCTGATACTTAGAAATCAAGTGGTTCCAGAGAATGATCACCTGATTTGAGAAACAATAGTTTCCAATACTGATTAAATTTTCTTTAATTAAAATTACTCATTTTCATGTGACAAGAGGATACTTTTAGATAAAAATAAAGTACTTATTATGCACATTGAAGATGTTAAATTAGCAACAGATTGCATGAAAACAAAATGCCCATAAAAAAGAATTTGAATAGTAATAGCCACTAAAAATTTTTAAGTAATAAGCTTTTGGTTATCAAGTGTTTATGATAGAAGTCAGTTGATAGGCCTTTTGTAGAAGAAAGCTCATAAAAAAGGCAAATTAATACAGAAATAAGAATTAATAGCAAAAAGGCTGCCAAAAGGAAAATTTAGAGATATTTCTTTGTGCAAATTTTGAAGCAATTGAACTCTTAATTTGCATATTTTATGGCCCTTTGCTATCACACATATTTATGCAATTTTTTTTTTTTTTCCCACATGCACAAACAAAATTAAGCATAAAAATAATTTACTTAGCATTAAATTATCATGCCAAATTCTGACATTATGCACTTCATAATACTTTTCCTATAAAACTGAAGGAATATTTATTTTAAATATTTGTTTAAAAGTTAATAAAAAGTTCACAGCATAGAAGTAATGATGTTTTTTTATATTTTTAACTTTTATACTGAAACCTTAAAATTTTGCATTCTATAATTTTTTTTCTGAAACTGTTATAAGTTTCAAAATATAAATACAAAAATATTGTTTTGTAAAACATGGTACATGTAATTTAACCCTCTGAGTGACACAGGATTTTAGATCAGTCATGAGGACTTATTAATTCGTTAAGCAAAATAGCTTAAATTATAAGCTAATATATGCCGAGTAACAGAAAACTTGATGACCGATTAAAGCTGATCATGGTGTTTAGAGGATTAAGAGACAGCAAAGCATAAACAGTAGATGTGAGATTTTTATTTAATTCTGATATGTTCAGCTTATAATTTATAAAAAAAATGCAAATATAAATTAAGAGACATCAATAACAGCCACAAACAGTAGAAATGAGATTTTTATTTAATTCTGATATGTTTAGCTTAAAATGGGAAAGTAAACATTTTTAGAGCAAATGGCAGAAACAATGACAAATTTTAAGATGAAAACAACGTATAAAAAATTAATTTTTTGTTGAAACAATACAAAAATGTAATATAAAGATTCTTCAGAGAAGCTCATTCACAACGTGTATAAATCCTGGTGCTGACAATATCATCCACTTTGCATATCTGAAAGAGAAAAAGTGTATTACAAAAAATAGAAAATTGAATTTACTGGCTATTTACACAGATTAATATACTATAATAAATTAAAGAGAAACAGTAATTAATATAATACTGGAAAAACGACTTCAATCTGGACATGCTGTATGGGGGAAAAGTGTGCTTCATTGAAACAATGCACTGATGAAAAAATTCCAACTCATATCATTCCAAAATTATAAACTGAAAGGGAAAACTAGGAAAAGCACTGAAGAGCCAAAAAAAAAAAAAAAAAGTGCAGCTAGCATTAACAATAGTAACAACCGTTTAATTGCAAAATAACTAACGGAATTGTAGAAAAGCCATTGCAATTTTGCAGCACATGTGAAGCCAAATAATTTTACATTTAGAATTTTTTAATAAACCACATTAAGAAAAGGACTGCATAGATATTCATTCAAATATACTTATTTTTAATGAATATAATTACTAATTTTATAAGCTTCATATAATTAGTCTTAAGAGACTGGTTTGCATCTCACCTTACGTATGGGGAAATCACAAATACGAACCCAAGTCGAACTACCAGTGTTCAGCAATTTTATATCATTGGTGGTTTTCAGTGCTAAGGGATTTTTTTAAACAAATGTATGACCTTAACCAAAAAGTACAGTGCCAATCCACAGGGGCTGATGCCAAATAGAAAGTTGAGCATCACTTCCTAGAGAAAAACTTCACACTTGGTGTGTAGTTGTGTATTTTTGCATCAACCATTTTTGACAAATAAAATCTGTCACCAAACAGTGTGATTTAGCTCCCTTGGCTTTGGTTTTATATTATTGCATTCCTTATAGTAAGCCAGTTTAGTTTTTGTGAAGAAGATTAAGTTAATTTTATATGTCTTCTCTTGCACTTTGGATGAAGGGAATTTAAAATTTGGAACTGCCTTCAACAGCAAGCAGTGATGGATTTACAATGAAAGTTTGATAGTACACAGAAAAATGGTTTATATTGCAAGTTAAAGGTGAAATTCCTAAAAGAATGATATGGATATAACGTGCAATCAAATAAAAGAAATTTTTTGTCAACAAAGGAAGTATGCCTAGCTTTTGCAAAATCCATGGCTAACAAAGATTTACCACAACAATGTTATATTTGCAGACAACATCGGGTCCAAATATTTGGATTTGATAAATGTGTGGCAAAGTCAAATGAAGAACTGAATCCAAAAAAAATCTGTTGTCTGTCATTAAGATTGGAGTGAAGGTATAGTGGGTTGGGGTTACTGTGTTGCCTCTGTGATGGGAAATTTAGTTTTTATAAAAAATAATATGGATCAACATCAACATATAAATACTATTAATGAAAACCTTAAAGTACCCACAAGAAAGTTTGGAATGCAAAATAGATTCAAGTTCTATCAGTATATTGATCCGGAACATACTGCCTTAAATGTTCACTTGTGTACAGTTGTCCTGAAATTATCAAAACTCCTGCATATTTTCCAGGACTCAATACTATCAAACATTCAAGGAGTGGCTTAGAGAAAAGAATAAGGAAATGTACTTCTTTGAAAACTCTTAAAAGTAATTCTTATGAAGGCATGTATAAAAGTAGAATATTCTAATATGAAACAATTACCGTATTTGACGGCATATAAGACGCACCCTTATTTAGAAGGCCACACACATGTAGATGTAGAAAAAGTTATATGTGTCTAGACCTTTATCCGGGCTAAAAATAGCATTCAGTATTGAAAGTTAACCTGTGTCCTTCACGTATAAGACGCAGGTAACTTTTTTTGAGACCAAATTTAGGAAAAAGTGCGTCTTATATGCCGTCAAATACGGTAGCTGAATTTCATGCAAAAGTGCCTCCTGAAAAGTGTAATTTTAGCTAAAGGATAATTGATGAAAGATTGAATGTTTCATTATTTTCAGGTTTTAAATTGAAAAACCTGTGTACAAAAACAAATGTGGCCACTGTAGATATAGTGGACCTCATAAACTGGACTTCAATGAGGGCATCATTTATAACAAAAATAATTATAATTCCACATATAGGTGATGTGGCTGCTAATGATCAATGACAAAATTAGCAGTTAATAAAAAAAGGGGGAAAAAGCAGAAACTTAGAGAATTTTGTTAATTATTTTAAACCAGATATTGCTCAGATAGCTATGTTAAAATTTAATATTTTTAAGCAATGTAAGTAAACTTTTCTTAAGGTCTTTTTAAATTTCATTTCATATTCCTTTTTCAATATTTCACTAATAGATAACACAATATGACAAACTGAACACTGCATTCTATAAAAAATGACAAGTGATATAAATAGGTCTCTCATCTTAACTACGTAAATTGGGCTGTACAATTTTCAAAAATTTCTATTTATTAGAAAATGAGCTGGAATATCCAAAGAAAAATCTACCGTATTCAATAAAATTTACAATCAATTATTAATTTAAAAAACATAACTAGGTTTCCTTGAATGGATAAAAATTTTAGTTAGTTAAATTTTATATTCTTGCTAATATTAGTTGGCCATCGCCGCCCAGCCAATATAGCGATTAGTGACCCTCACTGCTGTAGCAACTGGCCCGGTTTCGAATCCCAGAGAAGGCATGGTTGTAACTGACCGTCTCTTCATAAGAGGCAACAGTGCTGACCTATTATGGCCACTACTTCCAGCCCTTGTAGTGGTTCAAAGCTACCGGCGATTAAATAAAGTGCCTGGCCATTAAAAAAAAAAAAGGTGACAAAGTTTACACCAGACATATCACTTGAATGTAACAAAATCTGATACTTTAAGCATTCTGAATAATTACTTACAGTCTTCATCTGATCTCCTTCAACTTCTCTGATGATGGTCACTTCCTTATCTCCTTTCTGCCTCTGCACCAATTTTCCATCTTCGAGTGTAACAACAGTCTGTAAAATTTTTAAACGTGAACTCGTAAGTTATATTTCAAAATGTGGAAAATTATCAATTTATTTTGTACTTCTCAGCAACTAACATGTTTCATAAAATAATTCAAAATTAACACAGCAAATACTGAAGCATTAAAAAATAACAGAAATGATGGTTTAGTTGGTTATTTAGCATAGTAAAACAATTGAGAGCCATCTTGATTAGTATGGTGGTTAGTGGTACTAGTTCTTATGGTGGTTAGTGGTAATGGTACTGGTTACTTCTCAATTTGAGTCCTAGAGAAGGCACAGATGTTTATAAATGCATGAGGACTTAAAATACTGCTAAGTCAAAACTTTTTTGAGAGTTTTGTTGTTAGAGACCCTTAAATCCACTCCCTCTATCAAAACTGAAATAGACAAACTGCCGAAGGCCTTGGCCAGTGCAGTCACTCTTTCTTCCCCTTGACCATGATGAATTTGTGAGCCTAATGTAGATTCTATTTTAGATCAGGAGATTATCAATCCTTGTGATTAGATACATGGTTTTATCCACATATAAATAATTATTTCAATTTCAGTGCATTATAATGTTTAAAAAATAAGAATTGAAAAGGTTAATCCATTCTTGCTACAAGGAAAATAACAGAAAAGCACCATGAAATTTATTTTGTGCTTTATTCTACATCCCAAATTATACGTTTTATCCTATTAAGGACAGCATTCAAACCTTTTTTGATTCAACATCTTCTTTTCAAAATTGCCTGCTTAGTAACCCATAATCATATGCCAGAGGTCTTTTGAATGTGATCCGTGGATACTGATTGAAAAATGTTTATAATTTTTGGAGATTTATTACATTTACACCTTAACAAATTATTAATTAAAATTGAATGGTAATGATTTAAGATTTCTTAAGCATTTATAAATATGTTCAGGTTCCTACCACAACACAGTGCAGCGATTATATTAAAAGAACACGCTATCTGCATGTAGTGGATATCATATGTGTGGTCATGTTTATAGAATATTAAATATATAATTAATAATTTTGTTTCTAGGAACAGGAAAATGAACCTTCATGCAAATTGTACAAACATATATAAGGAACCAACCAATAAGATTTAGTAAATTTCTTATACAGATGCATGACTATCATATTTGCATTCAGTCGATTTCTGATTATACAGAAGTAGACAGGTGTTGTTTAAAAAAAAGTTTTTTTATATAGTTGGATAATGGGAAAATGATTATCAGTGTTCAGAACTGTCTTTAGAAAGTAAAAAAGAAAAAAGTGAATAAAGCACATAAAATACCACACATCGTGTCATATTTGGAAGTTCTTTTCATGTATAAGACTATGTAATTTTATTAATCTTATTTAATCAAGATTATATCAAAATTATACAGTTAAAAAAAGTTTTGGCTCTTTTATGCAAATTTGAATTTAAAGATACTGTTCAGGTTCTTCAGTAAATGTTGTAATTTAATTCCTTTATAACTTAGTTTATCTTTTAAAATGATGTTACTTCTTTCGTTCTTTTTTGTTCTGAATACTGCTTTAACTTACACAATCATCCTTATTAAACCTTGAAAATACAGATAAATTGTTAATAGCACTGTTTTGTTAATTATAATATGGATTTTCCTCTTTTTCTACTTTTTTAACTGCCCTCAATTTTAATCCAGTTAATTGAGAGTTTAATATCAGATTTTCTCTAAATATATGATTATTGTCACTTGCTTCTTAATTACTTACTATTCTTTGGAGCTGTAATGTCCCTCCTGAGGTCTCCTCCACATTCATGTTGGGAAATTGGGCTCTAAATGGATATCATGTTTTCAAACCAAACCTTTGGTTATTTTTCCAATGAGTAGCAACCAATTCACTTCAGAAATCAATATGGCCTATGCACTTCTTGCAACATGCTATCAATTGTAATAACTGTAAAACTGCAGTAATTTTCCACAATGTTTAAGAAAAGATACAGAAACCAAATTTTAAAACCTGTTATTTTAATAAGGTAGTAACTTTTTTACTATATATTCAAATAGATTTTCACTGAACATCTGTAGAAAATTTCAATTATTGCAAGGCTGTACAAATTTTCTGAAAATTATACCTTTCTATTTGTATTCCATATTAGTAATATTAAACAAAAAGGTCTGTCTGTTATGTTTAATTGATTACAGTAAAAGATACAAAGGATGCCTGTTTATGAGAAGAGTTCAATGGTCCACGCAAATTGCCTAAACAAGAAGGATTGCAATGATTTTTCCCAATCTTAGAAACTCATTACACATTTTATTCTTTCTACTGGAGATACTTCTCTTTTACTGAAGGTCATTTACCTTATTTTTTTCCCCAAATATCTTTAAATGATATTGCCTCACTGCATCATCCTATTAGCATTTCTTCATTCCAAAAATGATTTTACAACTGATTTTTGTTTACATATAATAAAACCTACTTTTGACAGATGAATGAATATAAATGATCTTTATCATTGCTGACCTCTGAAGCAAATTCACAAATTATTTTCATTCATATCCTTATATTGCAAATGTTTATTCAAGACTGGAAAATGGCTTGGTGCCATCTGATTGGCATGCTAGTTAGCCATGCCAGCTGCTATAATACTGGGTGCAGGTTCAAGCCCCTGAGAAAGCTTGGGTGTTTGCAAATACAAAGTTCCTGTGTCGAGGCGGAATGTGTGTTGCACGTTAAGAGGGATAAGAGGCTTCGGGATGAGTCTCCCATGGTGCTCTCTAGCAAAATTGAGATGAAACTGGACAGATTCATACTGCCAGCTTAAAAGCAGCCCAAGATTTTCACTAATAATAGGGCCTTTCCTTCTTGCCACGATTAATTCCAGGATCTGAACTGCAAACTGGTCAACGATCAGAAGGATAAGATGCCACAAAATGGCTTTCTGACACATAATCATCTGAAGACGGAGGAATAGTTAGCTATGTAAGCAGCATTCACTTACTATTTTATAATAATTCATGTAAATGTAGCATTTTTAGAACATTTTAATAAATTAAAAAATATTAATAATCAATGAAACTAATTTAAAAAAATAAAAAATATGAAAGGTTTCAGATTTTAAATTACTTCTAAAATGGCGTTTTTTTAATGTTTTGTCTATTACCTTTATTTATTAAATATCATGTTCTTTGCACTTAAACCATAAAATTCAGTTCAGTAGCAATGTCGAAAAATAATTTTAAAATGAGCTTTAGAATTTCCGATACACAGTTCTGCGCGTGCTGGAGATAAAAAAGGTGTTTTTCCCTCATAGAGTGTTAACATTGCTTGCTTTTAAATCATAGAGTTTGTTACTCAAAATTCGTAAATGTTGTACAAAATATAAAATGAATCATAAAACAAATTTCAAATTTGGTCTTCCACGTGCCCATATTCGTAGGAGGTTTACGTCATTCAAAATTTGATTTTATCACAATGCGAGAAATATACATACATTTATTTTTCATTATTTAATTTCTACAAATATAATGCAGGACTCTAACATTTGGTGGCAAGAGTTTGAAAAGTGATTCGCCACAATTGGGGGGGAAAAAAAATAGTCCTTCAGGGACAAAGCCCTTTTGAACTTACAATAAACAGTCAAAACATAATAGCTTCAGTTTATTTTTTATAATTGTACATAAAACGTACTATGCAATTAGTTTCAAATCATAAGTTTTAAAAAAGAAATATAGATTTAAAGAATTTATACAAATATTTGAATGTAACTTAAAATGTTTCCTCCATTATGTGCTGAAATTTAATTTATCAATCAGTATAAAATTGAATGTAGTAGTGGACTGTTACTAAAATTAAATGTTGTAAAAACATATCAGAAGGGAATGGGGATTAAGCATATTAATGTATCCAAAATAATAAAGTGAGAAGTATGATATATACTGTTTTAATACAAAAATCAGCACTTTTCTGTTAGCAAGGTACTAGTTGACAAATATGCATCAAAGTAACAAATGTGGTAGCTTGTTTATATAGGGTCATGATTAGCTGTGCAATATTTAATATGTGCAATGCAAGACTGAGAATGGTGTGCAACTCTTTGATGTTTTATAAGTGAAAACAGAAAATTGCCCAAATATGGCATCGCACACAGCTTCATTCATTGTGCACATTAAATCTTAAACATATTGTTTTATGTAACATACATTTTTATAAGTTACTTTAAATTTGTTTAAGAATGGTTTATTTCTCTTAATTTAGATATTTTTAGAAATCTTACTTTTTACAAAATGTAACATTTTTATTAAACCTAAAATAAACAATTTTATAATGCTTTCACAGTTATGAATATAAAATCTTAAAACTCTTTCCATAGTCCATATCAATCTATATAGTTCATATTTATGAAAAGCATCTTTTTTTCCTTTTCATTTACATCAGAACTATCTTACATGAAAAGATTAATTCTCTGGGGTTGTGCACAAAAGTAAACATTGTAAGCCTTCATTTCCTGATCTAGATTTAAATAATAATAAATAAATAAATAAATTTGGTATTCTTCTCTATTTAAAAGCTTTATACAGGCAATTTATATGTACACTGCGAAAAAAGAAGGGGGGGACAGTTCTATATATCCTGTTCTACTGGGCCAATTGATGAAATTTAACTTTTCTTCTCTATTTAAAAGCTTTATACAGGCAATTTATATGTACACTGCGAAAAAAGAAGGGGGGGACAGTTCTATATATCCTGTTCTACTGGGCCGATTGATGAAATTTAACTTGTGTTCTTCATGTCTTGAAAGTGCGACTTAGGATATGTATTATATTTATATCTAGCATTTTTCTAATATAGGTATTTTGACGCAAAATCGGACTTTTTCTGAAATAACATGCCAGTTTTTCCATATTCGATTCTACAACTCAAATTACACCAAACTGCCAAGTTTTGTAAAAATCGCACGAGTAGTTTTTAAAAAAATTAGCTTTCAAAGTTTTAGGTCCTCAATGTTAATTGAGTTTGGTATATATATTTATACATATTTCTTTTTTATTAAACTTATTTGATTCTTCATTTCGCATTTCAAAATTTAGGTTCATTCCAAATAACATTCACCCATTTTTTATGATTTATTTTTGAGATTAGTATTTTAAAATAATGTTTATAAATTTTTCGAAAACAATTTTGAATTATAACCTATGAAATTTTTACCATCATCTTAAAGTAGATGTATTCTAAGCATACCTGCAAAAAATTATAGTTTTTTATTCAAAATTTCCAAAAATGTACATGAACTTATATATTGGCATGTTTCGAAATTTGGCATGTATGTTGAGAGCGATAATAACATCAAATGTGGTTTAGGCACTTTGTTTAAAATTACTTGAAAATAGGAACTATGTGACATTTTCCCACTCATACACAATGTAAAAAGGTAGGAACGATGTGATTTTTTCCCTCTCCTGCAGAATGAAAGGGAAAGTAAAATAGGTTGCTATATATTAATAGTTCGCCAAGTGAATTATTCTTGGTGCAAACAGAAAAAAAAAATGCACCAAGTGAAATTTTTGAATTTCTCTAATAAATTTCACACCCCATTTTACAAAATTTAATATTTAGGCATAATTTCAGTCATAGAATCGAAATACGGAAAACAATTGGTTATGTTATCTCAGAAAAAGTCCCATTTTGTGTCAAAATACCTCTGTTAGAACAATGTTATATAAAAATCTAATATATATCCTAAGTCGCGGTTTAAAGATATGAAAAACGCAATTTGAATTTCGTCAATTGGCCCAGTAGAACAGGAGATATAGAACTGGTCTCTCTCCCCCCTACACCCCCGCAGTATACATATAGATATATATTTTAATTTCAAGGGAAAAGAAAAGTCTTTCTTTTAAGTTTAAAAATTCTAAGTTTAAGAATTAGGAATTTTTCCTGAACCATCTTTAATTCCCATAACTTTAAAGTAAAAAACTATTAATTTCAAGAAAAAGGCATAAATTACCTTGCAGTTAGAACCATCCATTCGTGTTTCTTCGAACTCCTCATCCAATTTAAATTTTATCTCCGAGTTCTTGAAAGTGGTAGTAGTCTTAAGTATGAACTCATCTCCCTCCTTCTTGATTTCAACAACAGGTTTTGACATAAGCCCAGCTTTACGCATAACAATATTTACACCTGCAATGAAAAATTGAATAATACTTTAGAATCTGTACCAAAAAATCTGACAACCATAGCACTTTTTCTTACTAATAATAGAAATACTACTTAATAATCTGAAAACAACTTTTAAATATAGTTACCCCTAACTTACATAATTCTTAGTTATGTAATTGTGCAAAGGTCATAAATGAAACTTGCCAATGTGAAATAAGGACTCTGTGAAGAATTTCTTCCTTTCTTTTGTGCACTCGAACAATATCCGTACAGTTAATTTATAAAATAATATACAGAGAGATGTATACACAATAAATATTGCTGTTTCTTATGCAATTACACTCAAGCACTCTTGAAGCAGCTTTTATCACATAGCTAAAGTTTATAGCTACGCAGAGCAGCACATCGAAAGAAACATTTCTTAAGTGGGTTAATTACATGGGTACTTTTCCGTTTTGCCGGCGCAAGCGATAAAGTCGCCAATAATGGTACAACCGATGCCAAACGGAATATTCTCGCTGGTAACCTTTTACACCTCATTCAGATAGTTCAGTTTTATGTCTAAGGCCATTTTCGGCAATTAAATCAATTAGGATGCAATCACAGCGCTTACCCAAAGCCGAAAATATAGAAAAGGTAAAGTCAAGGGTTAAATTCATCAATTCTAATGAGAATGCACTTAGCGAAGTAAAGCACTGCAGTTTTACATAATTTCTGAGTAAAGTTATTGTACGAATTGAAGTATTTCTTGCATTTAAACTTGTGTTCCAAATTAAGATTTAATTTGAAATTAATGTAGATAATTACTGAGAGCATTACATTTTTGTAGGGTTGTAATTTGAGATGAGATCGATTGGGGTCCCGTGATATGAACCGGCGAAACAGGATGTTTGAAACCATGAAAGCATAGTAAATTCTTAAATTAATGTCTTTTTAAATTTATTGTCTTTATTATTGGCTTTTATAAAATTTAAGCGATATTAAATGTTTATGGCCTTCAAAAAAAAAGAATTCTTAGGACTAACATTTTTTTAATATTTTTTGTGTGTATAATGTATGTTGTCACCAATAAAGTCTGCTTGGCGAGATTTGCGCCGGCGAAACGGAAAAGTACCATTACATCTAGTGACTCATAAAGAGGTTATCGCATATGGCGATGGAACTTTTCTGAGAAACAAGATTCTGATAGCACTGGTTTAAGCAGGAGGATTCCTAGAAAAAAAGAGCTCCGGTGAAGTGAAGTCCCGTCTAGCTATACAAACGATGTTGCGGCTACGCAGGATTTTTTTCAAACCTCACCGAAAATGTCTCGGCTGGAGCTCTGTCCCGGGTAGAGTCAACCAATCAGACGAAAATTCTGCTTCTGAAGGATCATGTGATCCCAATCTGAGCGATAATTGATTACTGTTAGGTGTTCAAGTCTTTGTAGTGATTGAAAATGGTAACCTAGCTACGTGGGTTTCCTGGAAATGTGTGGGTTCTGAGAATTGTCCCTTTCAAAGTAAAGTCCCATGTAGCCGAAACATAATGTGATTGAGACCTTACATTAGATGGGACTTTTCCGAGAAATGAAATTTGAATAGCATTGGTTTAAACAGGCGAGTTCCTAGAAGAATTACTCCATTGGAAGCTATGTCCCACCTAGATGTGGAAGTGATTTTTGACATTTTACCAAAAATGTTTTGGGGCCCGGAGCACGGAAAAAATTTGCATGCGGCCAGAAGCTGGTGAATAATTAAATTCTACAAATATAAATGGCAGATCGAAACGAAGCAGCAGTATCTAATCAAACATTAAACTGTACACTCTCAGCTACTTTGTGATTCAGAATTGAGCATCTTGTTTAACATTATTCAAAATATAAACTTTAGCAATCAGTGTACAAGCGATTCGTGCGCAATGCTCCTGTTGGTTTAGCGATTTCTTTACTTCTATAAATCAGTTTCTCATTTTAGCTTTGTCAAATTTTCATTTGGTCATTGTAATAGCTTTATGTTCTGTAGTACGGTATCCGGATGATTTTTACGAGTTTGAAATGGGGGGAGACAAAGATGAGAATGAAAATCATATAAACAAAAGAACATAGGATAATATCATTCACAATACAGAGGAACAAATTCATTGCAGAGAAATCTCTCTGAACTCTAGATGTAATGTTCTGTTTGAATGCATTCCTTTCCCATTTATTACCATGGTTGCAATGTATTTCTTTATTACCAATGCCATTTTATCACCTTAGTCTTGTGTATGCACATCATAACAGCAAATACATTTGGAAGTAAAGGGTGCCCTGTGGTTGAGTGTGTAATTTTTTATGGCAAGGCACTAAAGGTCTATCTGCCTTCGAAAAATAACTCGCGTTCACCTTACCCATGGGAAAAAAAATAAAAATCCATGCAACAAGCCTCTTCAATCACTAGAAATCGACACCGAAGCAAATTACTAATTTTAATTGGTCCTATACACTCGTACAACGCCACTGACATTTCAACTGCTGAGTATGTACATAAAAGGAATATAGCCAATTAAAGCAAACGATTGTTTTGTAATTGCTCAAAAGTCAATAGAATTGTTACTTGGTAATGGTGCATTTTATTCATATAATGAAAGCTTCAATAATAGGATTTTTATGTCATTTGGAAGGGAAAGAAATGTTGCCTATCAGATGGTACAAATCTCACTGGTTAAAAAAATATAGCTTTCCAATTAATAAATATATATATATTTCTCAATGGTGGGCACTAGCTGTTATAGATGCTGGCCATTACTAAGGTCACTTTATTATAGAGGAACCCTACAGGTGAACCACCAATGCCTCCGATGAAAGGGCAGATAATTTACATCCATGCCTTCTCCAAGTTCTTTGGTATAAGCAGTCACAGTAACCACTTCTGGCGAGCATAAAATAAAATTCTGCACTAGCGGTTATCTAGCTAGTATAAAAATTTGTTTCATCTGATAGCAAATAAACTGTTGCCATATGTTAAAAAATCTCAGATAACTACAAAGAATATATACAATTAAAAAAAAATTAATTAGATCTATAACTTTTTTTGGTACAGACAATTCAGTGCAGTCTTCTAATATTACAAAAACTTTATCTAATAACAGCTATAGAGTTTTGTTTTCGATAATCTATTTCCGCTGATATGGATACATTTCGCCATCTACCGGAAGGCAGTAGAAGCAGTAAACTTAGATAATTAGAAACATAAAAGCAGTGACTCAATTCCCCTTATATTTCATAAGCATAGAAGAAAACTTTCCTCATTTATTTATAAATACCATATACGTCTCTATCCAGACCCCCCCCTCCTCTCGAAGACGTAGATTTCATTTAATATTAGAGAGCAGAGTCTTGTTATTACGTTTCACCCAAATTCATAAACTTAGTACTGTTTACAACTTCCTTTTAATTACTGCGCAGGAAATCAAGCATGTGCAGTCAAGGCATTACATTGGTTATCTGAGTCACCGAAGTTCGTTCGAAAAATCAACGGACAGATGGTTAATTAATTTCTTGGTTTCGATGGCGAGGCTTTGTGATTGTTAAACTCTAACCATTTTTATGCAAAAAAGAAAACTGTTTGGATGCTTTCAATTCCGACTATAAGGAATGTTAAAATAACTTTTCTATTCCATCGGTTTTCGATGAGCTACATGAAAAATTGATAGTGCAGGCACAAATTAGTGGTACGGTTTCATATATATATATATATACAATTCTTCCCCCTTTTACAAAGAAAACGCACGCTGCCAAGCAGAGTCGTAGCTAGGGTTTTCAGCGCCCAGGGACAACTGAAGATTTCGCCCCCTATTGCTTGCCAAGGATGGAAAACATTTAATACTAAAATGTCGAAACATCAGTTTGGCACCCCTTGGATTCTGCGCCCGGAAACAGATGCCCCCCCCTCTAGCTACGCCCCTGCTGCCAAAAACGACAATTATTCCTTTTTCTTATACTTTGATTACAAATGCGTGCAGGTCTCGTAAGTAAGCCTGCAAGGCGGGTGCAAAGGGGCGCTTCTCTGGCAGTAATCAGCCACATGAATTTTTATTAATAACTATACGCTTACAAACAAATATCCGGAAAGCAATTAGAATAGAAAAACATACAATGCTGGAAATAGGGTTTAATATAAATACACTGGTTTCCAAAAATTAAGGAACTATATAAACAGCAATAACTCGTTCAAAAATAAGCCGTATAAAATTTGAATATGTTGTTAAATAAGAGTTCCTAAGTAAAACTGCAGTGTGCAAATTAGTGGCGCTTCAGTAGGAATAAGTCATCTGCGAAGAGCATAAAATTCCATGTTTGAGAGCAGGGCAGCAAATTTTGCTGTGATAGTAAGATAGGAAATCTGGTATAGCCAACCAATTCGTAACAATGACCTCCAGGCATCATTTGCCCGAAGAACTGCGATGGAAAGCTATTGGAGACTAGAGATAGAACTAAATCAGACAGAAGAGCCCAGATGGCTAAATGTGAGTCATTCTGCGGCTTATATACTTTGACAACAACTTCTAACCTCAGATTCGGCAACAGGAGGGTCAGCCAAATACGGACAACCGCTATGATGAGCATCTATGACCAATATTTGTTGTTTTGCGCACGAAAGAATAGAACCGCAACTCCTACTCAATTCAGATCCTTTCTTGCTGCAGCCACCGGAAGTTTGGTGTCAACGTCAACCATGCGTAGAAGGCTTCATGAAGGACGCCTGTACGTTAGGCGACCAGCCATTTGCATGCCGTTTACGTCACATCAACGTTTGAGGAGGCAACATGTCCACTGATTAGCTGATGAATGGAAGGTTGTTCTCTTTATGGATGAGTCCAGCCTCCAAAGCGATAGTAGGCCTTATTTGATTTGGAAAGGTCCTGAAATTCGTTATCATCCATCAAATATCCGTGAAAGAGATACATACATACAGAAAAGGCAGAGACTGCATTTGGGGTGGTATCTCTTTGGGTGGACGCACAGACCTCCATGTCTTTCCACGTGGAACCGTGAGTAC